TATATATATATATATTGAAATTGGGTTTTCCATAATTAAAAATTGAATAATTTATAATAACATCGAGTTAGTAATCACCGTGTAAGTATCCGTGCACGTCATAGTGTACAGAAAGTAAAATCTGAATGGAAAGTCGAACGCAATTAATTCCGAGCATGAAACTCTCTTTAAAACCAATGCAAGTAAAATCTTGACCTTCGAGAAAAAGTAGCTGATGCGATCGTATCTTCAAGCCAATTATGTATGTCATGCAACATCCTGAAAACAAACTATAGAAGTCTGTCATTCTGAATTTAACTTGGCGCGCGATATATCGCAAACCCGAAGACATTTTATTTTAAGCAGAATATTGCATCAATACCATCGATAATCTAATATCACATAAACTGATATCTTTAATATCATAATAATTAATAATTAATGTATCACCGAGCCTTTGCGATGATATATGTGACAAGAGTAATCAATATTTTGCAGCAAAGAGCGAAAACTACTGATGCTAATCGCTGGGAACATCGAGATGAAAGTATCGATACGTCGACAAAATCGCGACGTTATTGGCATTCCAACGATTTCAACTTCCAGTAACATTCCCACAACCCAAAATGCAACGGCAACAGTAATTAGGTAGTGGGATGTCCATCCGTATAAAAAATGTGAGTATTATGAGTGCAAAATCACAGAACTCGCGATTTGCGACGCGATCATCACATGATCTTTTCGATTGAATATAATCGCTTTCTCGTTTATTCTGCTTCATATCACATCGCAAGTATTCCCGATGATGATATTTATTATAGCCAGAGCTGTCATGCCTATCAGTAAGTCGCAGATGTATAGATTTTGCCAGATTTTGCATTCGAGGCAGCGAGTGACTGAGCCAACTGACATCTCGACATGCACGTGCTCGGTTGCATCATCTGCATAATTTCGGACACAGTGTTATGACACGTCGCGTCGACTTGACACACACACACACACACACACACACACACACACATTCCTAAAATGTAGAAGTTCACGACCGCATGAATATGCTATTGCGTCTTTTATATTACACAATTTATACTAGTTTCCTATACTTTCATAAGACGATTATTTTTACGGAACTTTAAGTCTTTCGAAGGGAATAGATGAGAGAGCAATCATAAAAAGTTACACTACATTTATGACACAGTAATCATTGATAGCAAACAATATGTTTGTACATGGAATTTTAACATAATTATTTATTTTAAGTGAAACCAATTGAGATAATGAGAGATAACGGTTCATCAGAGAGGTGGACAACACAGCACCATGGGAATATAAACTGCAACGTATGACTAGCATGAATCATTTTGATATTGGTTCTTGTGTACATTTGAAGAAATTTAGCTTTTCAAAAAATGAGTCCAAGTGAGTTCCATTATAAATTATGTTTCATAATTATTTAAGACTTCATAACAGAAGAATAATAGTTCCTTGACCAATCATACTGATTGACAATTCTTTCCTAGTCAGAATTACAACTGCGGACAGTCTCGACTATCGTTACATACCCATCACAAAAAACAGCGTTAGTTTAGGCATTAAAGCTAGCCACGATGCAAGGATTGCCTTACGGACACATCTTGGTGGTGACTCCAATGTATATGAGGTAATGCTACCTTGCAATAATTTGTAAGATTTATGTGCTTTACATATCACTTTACATAAAATAATTGTTTAAAGAATAAAAATATTTTTCTATTACATAATATTAATTTGGCATTATCTTAGATTATTATTGGAGGATGGGGAAATACTATGTCAGCGATAAAAAGAAATAATATAGAACCAGATGTGGCAGAAGCAGACACTAGAGACATTCTGAATCCTGATGAGATATGTGATATTTTCATACAGTAAGGAAATTATACATTTTATTTTAAGATGAATTTAGATACACTGTATATATTTCTTGCTTCTATTCTATAGATGGTCTTGTGATGGACTATTAAGTGTTAGCCGTGAGGATGATTTTGACATGCCGTTCATGTCTTATAAAGACAGAAGCCCATTTGTCATAAATTATATAGGAGTTAGTACTGCTTGGGGTGCAACCGGAGAATGGATAATTGAAGGTACATCAATAGAATTCATGATAAAATCACTGTAGAATTTGTTTATCTTTTAAGATTGAAAAATTCCTGAAACTGTAATATAATAAAATTGTAATGTGCATTGATGTCCTATATGGATTAATCCATATAAAAATATATGAAAAAAAATGTGAGAAATGCAATAATGTTTTAACTCATTCTACCAGAATGCCAGTTTACATCCCCTGCTATCAGACAGCAACTGATGGACACGTGCCACTTCTGGGTGGATTTCAGTGAAGCATTTGGACTACCTCGCAACGCAGTGATGGCTTCTGAGGATGGTTTGTACATCGGTAGAGCACATCATCAAGGCACGGTGACCCCAGGTGGAATTCGTGACAACGTCTGCACAATCGCATGGGGCGGAAATGGCCATGAGAAACGAGAGTTCCAGGTGTTGTGTGGCAAGGACGTGAATTGGGTAAAATCTTGGGAGGGTAGTGTGCCTCTACATGCTCTACCTGCTGGTGAAACCGAGGATGGTTACGCTTTATTCGTAGGCAGAGTATTGCACGAAGGAATTTACCACATTGGCAAGATACAACCGAATCATCAAGTGTGTTATATACCGTTGAATGGTCAAGAAATGCCCTATCTGGAGTACGAGACTTTAGTCATTCATGACAACTACGGGGTCGAGTGTATCGGAAGGTAAAGTGACGAACGGCTTAGAGACAGAATGTATTTATTTTTTCACGAGACGAAATTTTCCACATGCTAAATGTTAAATGCGATTGATCATCTATAAAATTTCAATTGGAGTTATTTATATGTATTTATATATACATCAGTTATTTATAATAATTCAAAATTATAATTTATAGCATCTTTTATAAATATAATAAAATATTATGAATATGATAGTACTTAACCTTTTCTCTAAAGTTTGTAAAGTGGATTTTCAAAACGTATAGAAAGATAGTTGAATTTGAATCCAATCTTTTTTATCTAATCAATTTATGAAATGGATAAGAAAAGTAAATAGTAATATATTCTTCTGTTTATTTAGAGATGAAAAAAATACAATAAAGTTACTGGATCTTAAATAATTGCAGTAAAATATAAAAAGGCTGTAACTAACGAAGCTTTAAATAGTTTAAATAATGACACATCCATCCTGACTTTACCATTAGAAGGTTAATATCACTACACTGAGACAGATATCAATTTTTTATAGTAATTTCTTTCAAGTCAATTAAAGTCAACTAAAAAAAATTTTTTAATATTTTTTTCGAAAATTTACTTTTCTATATTACTTTTCTCTATAAAATTAATCTAATTTATATACTCCAATTGAAATAATAAAAGGATTAAATCAACTTAAAAGATAAATTAATAGTGAATCATGAAATTGATCAAAATTAAAAGAAATCATAAGCGTATTTATTTGCCAATAAGTACGTTTTTATCGATTTCTTTTAATTCTTAACAATTCAATTTTTAATATAATTTGTATGCGATTGTAAGATAGTTATATATTGACCTCAACATGAATTAATTGTAGTTTGTTACGATGAGCGCAATTCAAAGACATATTTTTTTATGAATATCATATGGAAAATTATTATCACACATGGTATTGATTATTCCATTCTTATATAAATATATATAATACACAAACAGGCTAATATATTCAAACCCGATATTATTTAACAGACATTAATTAGCAGATGTAAATGGTTATTGAACGATACTTACAATTAGTTATTAAAAACAATTAGTTATTAAACAATTA